TTAGATTTCACAAAAATAAAGCAAACACAGAAATTAAAAACATTTTTAAACTACTTAATTAATTTCCTTGATTTAAATAGAAATATCTGAAACATTTAAAATGGCATTTATTTACTCTTCTCCATTTCTTCAACTTCTCTTCACCTTCAACTTTAACGAGAGACAAAGAAATATAACTATTTTTTGTGTTGGGCAAATTTCGTAGAGGAAATTTTGAACAAAAAGTGACAAAAAGTCAACAGTTAATCAATTCTAAAATACTTTTTTGTTTCTATTTTTCTAATGCTCGTAATGGAATCACTAATACTTTAGTGTAGAATTATTTAAAACACGCTCTAGCTTCATTTATTTTCTATTCTGATAATTTAAGAGAAAAAAATCAAATCTTATTCTCTTAGAGAGATCCAAAAACGTCAAACCAACTCAAATTTGTAAAATTTCATCGAAAAACATTAATTTTTCATCGTTTTTGAACAATTTTTTGATGTAAAAATAAAGAAATCGCGGAAATTAAACAATGTTGTTTTTTGAATTTGAATCTACATAATTGATTTCCTTGATTTAAATAAAAAATCTGAAACCATTGTACACTCTTCTTCATTTCTTCAACTTCTCTTCACCTTCAACTTTAACGAGAGACAAAGAAATGTGTAAATGTAAAATAGAAGGGATTTTTTCAAAAATTCAACTTTTATTGTTTTAATTGTCAATCAATTCATAAATTAATGAAAAAAATCGAAAATTATAAAAAAAATTGTGGACAAGTTTTGCTATTTTTCTGTGTTTGGTGTAGGAATCAAAACGAGCCTTTTTCTACTCCATCGTCACCGAAGGCGGCGACAAGGAGAAACTCGAAGCCTTTATCAACTTCTGTGAAGATGCCATCTTTGAAATGCAACACGCAAGTGGCTTGATGGCAGTTGAAGAATCGGGTGGTGGAGGCCCAACCCGTGCTGCTAGCTACAGTTACATGAACGTCGACGATGAAGACCGAGGCAAAGACCCAATTCGTCGAGGTTACCAATCCATCAAAGAAGGCATCGCTTACAGTCTTTCCGCTCTCAGTCCTTCAAACATCAAACACAAATTCGCTGAAATGCAACAAATGACAATTCCGGAACTGTTCATCGGCTTCTTCAGAATGATCATTTATGCATTTTATTACTCCGGATTTGGAGTCGCGATTATTTTCAAGTATATCTTCGGCGTGTTGTTGTCTTTGATGAGGGGGCCTATTGAAGAACCGGTTTTGGAAATAAAGGAAGAAGAAGAAAAGGTTGGGTTATCACGCGTGTTACCGGCGTTACCACCTTCAGAAGAACAAAATACCCAAATGCAAGCATTCGGATTAGATATAACGAAAGAAGATAACGGACAGTAAGTACTTTAGTTTTATTTCATTTAGTTAAAAAAAAATCTAGGTATAAAATGGCCGCACATGAATCGCCCACCACAAGCCAACCATCAGAAGGCGAAGGTGAGACAACACCGGAAGAAGACGAACACCAAGAAACCGAAGCTTTAGAAGCACCAATGTCGCTATCTGATCTTTTAGGGTAAAAAACACAAGTTTTTGACTCAATTTGAAGCTTTTTTTCAGTGGTGAACAAGCCAAACGTGCAGCACAAGAAAAAGTCGAAGCTCAAGCTGCCCAACAAGCCGTAATGCAAGCCATTGAATCGGAATCTAAACAACCTGTGGTTACTGAACCTTCAGCTGTCTCCCAAATCAACTTTGGGGCTTACAGTCATCGAGCTGTGTCTTTCTTAGCCCGGAATTTCTACAACTTGAAATATGTGGCTTTGGTGCTTGCGTTCTGTATCAACTTTATGCTCCTCTTCTACAGGGTTTCAACCCTTGGAGAGGATGCGGAAGGTAGCGGCAGCGGAAGCGGAAGCAAGGGAATTCCTGATATCCTTGAAGGTTCGGGTGAAGGAAGTGGGGCAGAAGAGGAAGAGGACCCAATTGAGTTGGTTCATGTCGATGAAGATTTCTACTATATGGCACACGTGATGCGATTGGCGGCCATTTTACATTCAATTGTGTCTCTAGCTATGTTGATTGCATACTACAATTTGAAAGTACCTCTAGCTATTTTTAAACGAGAAAAGGAAATTGCACGGAGACTTGAATTTGAAGGTTTATACATCGCGGAACAGCCCGAAGATGATGACCTTAAATCGCATTGGGATAAATTAGTCATTTCAGCAAAGTATGATTAAAAAATTAAAGGAACAAAAAATTTCATAAATTTTTGAAAAATAATCATTTATAGATTTCTGAAGTTTTGAGATCTTTTGACATTTTTTTTGTGCTAGGGTTACCACGCAATCATAACCTTTGTCCATTTCTTAAGTACATTTAAATCTTATCTTTCTAAAATAGAGAATGACCCAAACTCGTCGAACTAACTGTATTTTTCTCAGTTGTCATCTTTTTTAACTCATTCTTTATGTTTAATCTCACTTCTCATTACAGCTAAATCAATAATAAATGGAAAGTACCTTATAGGTTTTTGAAATTTAATCAATTACAGGGTGATTCAGAAAAAATATTTATATTTGTGTCGATGTAGTAACACAGTTAATGAAAATTTTTTGTTTTTCAATTACTACAAATCGCTGTTTTATTAATTAAAATTTGATGCAGAATAGTTCATTAAGGAAGATTTTGCTTTCAAAGGACAGAAAAATGTATGTAGCGTTTTTTCAAAATTTTACGGAAATCCAATTTGAGATGATTTAACGAAATCTAGGTGCAGGTGATTAACAAGCACACAAGACAATATTAAAAAAAAAAATACTGCGACTACCGATTTTTAAGAAATTTGCTATGAATATTTTGATGTTATTTTGGTTAATTTGGCTTGTTTTTGAGTGAAATTTTGTCGAAACGAGTGTAAATGACTAAATTCGGTAAAAAATAATGATTTATAAATTTCTCAAGCGTTTGAGCACGATTTTCATCTAAAAATGCACTTTTTTGGAATCTGAACAAAAATAGGTCTGCGTATTTTTAACTGTTTTAACTGCAAGTTGTTTACCTAAAAACTCAATTTTTAGCAATATTATTATTTTTTCTTCATAAAAATGAAGAAAACAGAAATTAAAAACATTTTGCATCTACTTAATTAATTTCCTTGATTTAAATAAAAAAATCTGAAAGACCTGAAATGGAATTTATTTACTCTTCTTCATTTCTTCAACTTCTCTTCACCTTTAACTTTAACGAGAGACAAAGAAATATGTAAACAGAAAGGAAGTTATTCCAATTTTTCAGTAAATACTCTTATTACTCTATCTCCGACAAAAAAAATACAAAAAATGTAAACACTTTTGTTACGTTTTAAACAAAAATGTAATGAAATTAAAATTAATGAAGCTAAAATCGCAATAAAAAATTATAACTTGGTTGTATTGTTAGTAATACAGGCAAAAAGTTAAAAATAATGAAAAATAATTCCCGACTTTTAAAAAACTAAATCGAAAATAAAAAATAAACAGTAATATATGTTGAGCAAATGAATTCGCAATAATAACAAAAAATTATAATGCGATTCTACCAAAAATATCAAGAAAATATTTTTTTATCCAGTGGAAAAAGTAACTAAAATTAAACACAAGTTGACATTACATTTGTTATTGTTTTCATTCAAAAAAAATATTTTTTTAAGTATTTCTTTAATACCGTATTTATTGTTACTGTGTTTTGGTTTTGTAAAAGAATTAAAGGAACAATATTGTTTCTGAAAATTGTCTAATCCTCATCAAAATGAGAAAACCATTTTTTTGACTTTTTCTTACAATTTTGCATTAGTTATTTGTAAATTTGAAAAAAAATAAATCAAAAAATTTGATTTTTTTGAACATTTGAAAAAAAAAAGTTTGTAATTTAAAAAAATATATAAAAAAATGTTTGTTTTTTTTTAAATTTGTAATAAATTCAAGAAACAATACCGCTCAATTAAAAAAAATGAGAAAAACGCTTTTCATATTTTAAATTAGTTAAAAAAATTCAAGAAACAATACAGATTAATTTTTGAAAAAAAAACACTCGAAATTTCACTAAAAAGAAATTCCCAAGTCCGTCGACTAAAAACAAAAAAATTACAATTTTTTTCACGCACTATTGCTTAGCATTGCGTGATAATCGTAGCAAAAATTTTGCTAAAAGATCTCAAAACTAGAAACTTAAAGTTTCAAAATGGTTGTTTAAAACCTGGATACCAAATCACCAAAAAATTCAAGAAATTTTTTTGTTCCTTAAATTTTAGTTTACCCCACATTGGTGTTTCTAGGTCATTTCCGGTCAATTACTGGGACAAGTTCATTAAGAAAAAAGTGCGTCAAAAGTATAGCGAAACGTACGATTTTGATTCGATTAGTAATTTGCTCGGTATGGAGAAAACCTCCTTCCAACATGATGAATCTGATGAAGGACGGAGTTTCATTTATTTGTAAGTAAAACTCATTTTGATTGAATTAGTTGTATTGTTTCTAGTATCATCAACATCGACTGGCGTTACCAAATTTGGAAATCTGGAGTTACAATAACCGACAACTCCTTCTTGTACTCCTTATGGTACTTCATTTTTTCCATTTTGGGCAACTTCAATAACTTCTTCTTCGCGGCCCACTTATTGGATGTTGCTGTCGGTTTCAAAACCTTGCGCACTATCCTCCAATCGGTGACACACAACGGAAAACAACTAGTTTTAACAGTGATGTTGCTCACAATCATTGTTTACATCTACACAGTGATTGCGTTCAACTTCTTCAGAAAATTCTACGTGCAAGAGGAAGATGAAGAAGTTGATAAGAAATGTCACGACATGTTAACATGTTTCGTTTTCCACTTATATAAAGGTGTGAGAGCTGGTGGTGGTATCGGTGATGAAATTGAACCACCCGATGGTGATGACTACGAAGTCTATCGCATTATGTTCGACATCACTTTCTTCTTCTTTGTTATTGTTATTCTCTTGGCTATCATTCAAGGTTTGATCATTGATGCTTTCGGTGAGCTTCGTGATCAACTAGAGAGTGTGAAAGAGGACATGGAGTCGAATTGCTTTATTTGCGGGATGGGGAAAGAGTATTTTGATAAAGTACCACACGGGTTTGATACCCACGTCCAACAAGAACACAATTTAGCTAATTATATGTTCTTCCTGATGCATCTAATCAACAAACCGGATACGGAATACACGGGTCAGGAGACTTATGTGTGGAATATGTACCAGCAAAGGTGCTGGGACTTTTTCCCTGTCGGTGATTGCTTCCGGAAGCAATACGAAGAAGAGTTGGGTGGTGGAGGCGGTTAACAAGGATCACACACAGCAGGATGATTTTTTGTTTGTTGATATTTGCATATTGTACGCTTTGCTCTCGATTGTTTCAACAACAGTACAAATTGTCCAAATTTTGCCTTATTTGCGGAAATTTGATCTAATAAAGTATTTCTTGTTACTGAGTTTTGATTTATTTTTTTGGTTGCTTACACGCAACTTGTGCTTTTTAGAACAATGTTTCCAATACTGAAAGAGGCCGATGTGTACGAAAACTTTTACGCTAGTAGTACAAAATAAGTTAGATTTTTGAAATTTAATCAATTACTAAGTGTATTTACTTTTGTACAAACAAATCGCCGTTTTATTAGTTAAAATTTAACACAAAACGTTTATTCAAGTAAGATTGCGCTTTCAAAGGGCAGAAAAATATGTGCAGTATTTTATTAAAATTTTACAGAAATCCAATTTGAGATAATTTAACAAAATCTAGATGAAAGTGATTAAGCAAGCACATAAGACAATTTTTTAAACAAAAAATTACTGAATCTACCGATTTTTTACGAAATGCTTGATGTTATTTTGGAGTGAAATTTTATCGAAACAAGTGTAAAAATTATCAAATTTGGGCAAAAATAATGATTTATGAAGCGTTTGAATACGATTTTTATCCAAAAATGCACTTTTTTAGAATCTGAACGAAAATAGTGTTATTTTTTAACTGTTTATAAGCAAGTTTGCTTTTGAGCCAAAAACTGAATTTATTGCAAAAAGACAGAAATTCAAAATATTTTAAATCTACTTAATTAATTTCCTTGATTTAAATAGAAAAATCTGAAACACCTGAAATCGCATTCATTTACTCTCCTTTATTTCTTCAACTTCTCTTCACTTTCAACTTTAACGAGAGACAAAGAAATATGTAAATGTAAAACAGAAAGGAAGTTATTCCAAATTTTCAGTAAGTATTTTACTCTTATTACTCAACCTTCAACAAAAAAAAACATTCTTGTTACATTTTAAATAAAAATTAAAATCAATTAAGCTAAAATCGCACTTGTCTGTATTGTTAGTAATTTAGGCAAAAAGTAAAGAATAATGAAAAATGAAAAAATAACTCTCAACTGTTGAGAAGAATAACAAAAAATTATAATGCGATTCTATCGAAAATATCAAGACAATACAAGGTGATTTAGCTTAAACGACCCACCTGACCCGTCTTGAGAGACAACTCATAATACATTATGCACTTACTCGTATTCCTTAATTCAAAATTAAATTTTCAAAATATCGAGAATCAAAGAATAATGTTGTCCATTTGACAAGTAAATATTTCAAAGCGTCGAACGAATCGTCAACGCAGACGACGTTTCAAAGTGTCAAAAATTCCGAGATATTCATTTACAAATAATGAAAAAACTGATATGATATTACCTTATGTTGCATTTGGTAAAAATACTAGATTAGCCGCAGATTCATACGCTTGGCAATATCCAGAACGAGTACCTACATCCTATGCATAAAATTAGAGATTACCTTACAAAGAAGCGATCCATCAATAAAATTAACTTGGAAGAGTTTGAAATACTATAATTTCGATTATTAAGTTTGGGGTAGAATTTAAACCAGAGATAAATTCCCGCTTTACTACGTCACAATCCCAAAAGCACTACGACAGTGCAGTGGCAAATGGAATATTATGGCGGATATTTAATCACAACATTTAAATGTACTCATTTTTAGCATCATAATTATTATTATTGTATACACAGAACACAGATATTAAAATAAACAAACACCAAAATATAACCTTAAAACAGATCTGCAATCTGCATTACCGACATTCAAACAGCCAATGAGCGCCAAGAATGGATTATTACCTCACAGCAAATAAAATGCGCGCGTTTTGTATTTATTTCATTTTACGAGTTTTTAATATATTTTTTTGTACTAAAATTAAGATTTCAAAAAAAAACGAAAACATGGGTCAAATATTTTTTAATAAAGATTTAGAATATGCAATAAAAAAATATGTGCAACGACCCAATTGGCCTGCAGTAAGCGTAGAAGTATACGAACTGCGACTAATTTAAAGACGGAAATTCTGATGTTGGAGACTGTTGAACAAAATCGGCATATTGTGTGGAAGTGGAAATAAGCCAATCTTCTGTTTCTAGAATTTTTAAAACTAATAAATTTCATCCCTATCGCATGCAGTTAGTCCAAGAACTACAAAATGCTGACTTCTCTCGAAGATTAAAATTTTGTTATTTTATTTGGGAACAATTAGAAAATAATCCAAACTTTATTAATAATGTTGTGTTTAGTGATGTTTGATTTTGTGTTTTGTGAATAAAATCGTGGCTTGTGAGCAGAGTGCGGGTGGCCACATAGAGCATCGGCTATGAAATAATTAATTTTTGATTTATCTATTCCTTTTCTATAAAATAAAATTGAGTTTATTCGAAAAATTGCCATTGATTCAAATGTATTGTTGCATGTGCGTGTGACAGTGGGCACTTCCGATATTTTTTGAACAGCAAACTTTGATTCATGAAACTTTCAAAATTCTAATATGAATCAAGGAATAATTGCTTTGTGTATTATGGGTTGTCTGCCAAGAGGTCAAGTGGATCATTTAAGCTGAATCAACCTGTATGGTTTATTTTTTATTAAATGGAAAAAGTAGCTAACAAAATTAAACACAAAACCTTACATTTTTAATAATATTGTCTCGATTATTGTTTTTATTAGAAAATTATTTTCTTTTAAATCAATCTTCAAGCTTAAAATCGCGTTTTTTTATATAAAATACTCTTTAATTCATTTTGGGTACAAGTTTTATAAAATATCTAATTTGAAGAATACGTAATTTTCGTAAAATAAATTTTAAACAAAAAGTGACAAAAAGTTCACAGTTAATGAATTCTAAAATATTTTTTTGCTTCAATTTCTTCTAACAATGGAACCACTGATTCTTTTACTGTAGAATGAATTATTTTAGTCATGCTATAGCATGATTCATTTTTCTATTCTTATAATTTAAGAAATCTTATTCTCTTAGAGAATAAACGTCAAACCAACTTAAACTTGTAAACAATATGCAAAATTTCAACGAAAAACATTAATTTTTTGTCGTTTTTGAATAATTTTTTGAAGTAAAAATAAAGAAATCACAGAAATTAAAAACAATGTTTTTTTGAACTTGAATCTACATAATTGATATCCTTGATTTAAATAAAAAAAAATTGAAACCATTGTCATTTCTTCAACTTCAACTTTAACGAGAGACAAAGAAATATGTAAATGTAAAACAGAAGGTATTTTCTTCAAAAATTCAACACTCTTATTACATTTTAATTGTTAATCTATACAAAAATTGATGTTGTATTTATATAATTATAAACATTTTGAAACCGCACTTAATTAATTTCCTTGATTGATATAGAAAAATCTGAAACACATGAAAAGGCATTTATTTACTGTGTAACATCGGAATAGTATAAATCATTATTCCGATACAAGTCCAACGTGGTTAAATAAAATGGACACTAATTAGAAAAGAGACAAAAAATTAAGTAAGTGCCTTATACTGGCACTCTCTTATCGGACGGAGATTTTAAAAAAACAAAACAATTGTTTACTTACTGTAAACTAAAATTCAATATTCAGACGCTACTTAATCTCTCAGAACTTTTTAATTCTCAGAAACTCATTTATTGAGTGTACGTTTTTGTGTTGGGAACCGTTAACTTGAAAACAATGATACAATTTCCAATTTAAAAAAAAATAACCAAAAATTTCAGTAATTCTAAATAATTCCATCGAAATTCCAATAAAAGCAATTACGATTAGATTCCATACAACTAATTTCAGAGTTAACGGCCTCTCGTGTTTATGAATAATGATTTGAAGAAATCGGTTAGTTTTTTTTATAAATTTTTTGAAAATGTCCAAAAGTTATTTCTAATTTTTGGAGGAACTTAAAATATTTATCGGGGCTCGAGTCCCCCATTGGACATTGTCTAAAACAATACTCTAACTTTTGAATAAACGTTCTAAAAAATGCTGCATTTTTATTTCATTTTAACTCCATCGTTAACTGCCTATACATATTATAATAAAATGCCTTACACTAATTATACAGGGTGCGCCAGAACTCGCGCCCCAAAGAAAAATGTCACATAAGGTAAGATACAAGGAACATGGAAAAAATGTTAAAAAAAGTTATCTATAAAAATTTCGAAGTTATGAGAGTTTAAATTTTGCACTATGACTCTGCTTATTTCTGTTTGAAAAATAGTTTTCCAAGTTTTTTTGCTACAGGCTATTGGAAGAGGAAAGAAGGAAGCTGTATCCTAAATTGTAACTCTGTTCAATGTTATTTGTGACTTTTATTGACAAAATTTAACTACCTTTACTAAATAATTGTAAAAAAACATATACAAGATCATCAGTATCATCAAATAGACATAAAAAAATGTCAAATGTCAAAAAATAAATGCCAAAATTTTTAAACATTTTTTTCATGTTCCTGGTATCTTAACTTACTTGAAATTTTTCTCTGAGGCGCGAGTTCTGGCGCACCCTGAGGTATTTTACAAAAAAACTTAGTGATAAAAAAAGCAGTATAGTGAAAGTGGCAATGAATTAACTAAAATATTTGCATAACAACGAAGCATCTCTAGAGATTTGGGCTTAGGTACTTTATTTAATTTTGTGGATTGATGAGCTGTCTGTTCTTAAACTGTTGTTACGGAACAAGACTTTATTGTTGTCGAAACCGTTAACACATGAGTGCAAGTACATTACGTATATTTATCACAGTCAATCATTGCCTCCTACAAGTCGTAAAATAAGTTTTTGTTAAAAATAAACTAATGCGACTGCATAACCGAACAATGGCTGAAGATGGCTCTACTTTACAGTAGCGGTAGAAAATTTTGAACGGCGCCGGATCAGCGTCGCGACGTCGACGTCGACGCCACCACCTTGCTCATTCCGGCCAGTTCAACTCCGACTTCGCCGTCGCGCCACTTACCGCCTCTTTGAACGCATGTGACTTATGTGGACTGTCAGTGGGGTGATCCTTGACAAGAAGACAGTGGAGTGCTGTGAAAGCTTCGAATTTATTTTCTGATCGGATTCGATTCGATTTACCTTCGAAATATCG